CGAGCGTGGGCGGCGGCGCGACGAGGCCGCCTGCAGGCTTATGCGGGCGGCCGCCTGCAGCCTAGGCGGGCGGCTCCCTGGCGCGGGGGCTTCAGTCGGCCTCGGGTGTGGCTTGGAACCTGCGCGCTCTTGTTCCCAGCCTGGAAACCCCGCACTCCCACCCTTGGAGTTTTATGGAGGTTCCAGCCCTCGCTAGAGATTGGTTTCCCTGGCAGCCGGGCCCCACCCCCCATTCTCCGGGCTTTCGAGTCCGAGCAGCTCCCGCCTGACCCCCCCCCCCCCCCCGCACCGCCGGCTGCCCGGCCGGGGCAAAGGCCGCAGTTTCTCCCCGAGAAACGCAGAGTCCCGCGTTTTGGGACAAGGCCAAGTGGCAAACAACCCTCACAGTGCCACACTCCCTCTCTTTCTTCGTGGCTCTCGGAGCAGTTCCCTTTAGGAGGTGCTTGGCGGGTCTGGGGGGACTGGGGGGCGGAGGAGGCCCAGTGTTGAGCGAACGCGCTTGCGGGTCACAGGAGCCACCTCCCAGCCCCGCTGAGCTGAGCGGCTCTCCCCAGGCCCCCTGGCCCGCAGGCGGCCTCGTGCAGAACTCCAGCGTTGGTGGTCAGGGCCGGTGTCTGCCGCAGCCAGGGGTGCTCGGGGGTGACTGCGGGCAGCGGGCAGCGTGCCTTTGCCTTCTACCCCGACTTGCACAGGGCGGAGGGAGTGAGGCGCAGGTCATCCTGCTGTTCCTGGCTTGGCCCGCAGACCCAGCCCAGGGCGGCGGGGGGAGGAGGCAGCAGCTCCCGGGTCTGGCCTGCCCTGCCCCCCCCACGTCGCCCTCCTCAGTGCCTCTCAGGGCCTGTGCCTTGGAAACCAGGGCGCGGTGTGCCGGTGGAGCCAGCCGAGGGAGCCAGCCTGCCTGTGGTGGCTGAGCGCTGGGCAGAGCCGGCTGGTCCAGCCGAGCCGGAGTCCTGCTGCCTGGTGCCAGGTGGGCCATGCGCAGGCTGTGGCCGCAGGGCCGGTGGAGGCTGCTCTGTGAAGGTTTCGCCAAAGAGACAACCAAGGGCAGCCTGGGGTAGGGCCATGCTGCCCAGCCCCAGGTGGCCTTTCCTGGCCTGTTTCCAGCTGGTGTCACAGGGGGAAAGTGCCCGGCTGGGTCTCCCGCCGCGGCCTTCGGCCCTGTGTGCTGAGTTCCCTCCTGTGGGAGCCCAGGTCTGTCTGCACTGTCGGACGCAGGGGCAAGCTGCCCAGGGCCACCGTCCGGAGCAGGGCCCTCCACCGCCAGTGTGGCAGGGGCCCCGGGCTGGAGGCCATGCGGTGGCCAGTTGATAATGGGCCCTCTGCTTGGCCGCCTTGCTTCCTGCTTGCCCTGGGCATTCACTCTGGTCAGGTCCGATCCTTAGGGAAGCCTGTGGGGGGTCCGATGTGTTTGTTCTTTTCTCCTGGGGAGATGGTAGCCTTTGACATTGTGGGGTGTGGCAGCTCCTGGCTTCTGGAGGGCACCCTGCGGCCTCCCGCCTCGGGTGGGCCTCGGCTGCCTCCGCGGAAGCGCCGGTGGGGGTGTGGATGCTGCTTTCTGGTCTCCTGCTGCTTCCATCCTGAGGCCACGTGGGTGAAGTCCCGGCTCTGAGGGTGCAGAGTCCCCACGAAGGGCACGCCCCGTCCCTGCTGCGCCCGGCCGTGCGGCGCCCTCCTGGCGCGGCTCTGTGCCCGCGGCGCCCACTTCCCGGCCCTCCTCTGCAGCGTCGCCAGCGGGAGAAGGCCGGTCTTTGGGGCTGGAGGAGGCCGCTCCAAGGGGAGGCTCTGCCTGCAGGATGTGGCCGAGCGGCTGCGCACCGGGGCCTGCCAGAGGGTCGTGGTCATGGTGGGCGCCGGCATCAGCACGCCCAGCGGAATCCCGGACTTCCGGTGAGCGCC